GACCATGATGCTGATGCCATTAATCATCATGGTGCAGATGATGATGCTGATGATGATGACGACGATGGCGATGATGACGATGATGATGACGATGCTGCTGCTGATGATGACGAATCCGTAGGTGATGCTGCTATCGCCGACGGTGCGACGATGGCCACTGTCACGGTGCCCGGCGCGTGTGCGCCCGCGGACACCGGGGTGCGGTGCACGGGCGCACGGGGGCGGGGCGCGGGCTCGCAGCGGGCTGCCCCGAGGCCGCGGTGCCCGCCCGGCGTTGGGGGAACCACCCCTCGCGCTCCTGGCGGTGCCTCGCGACGACGACGGCGACGGCGGCGGCGGCGGCGGCGACGGCGACGCACCGCCCGATGCATCGTGCCTCGGGCGCTGCTCGGGCCTCCACGGGTCGCCACACCGCGGCTCGCGGACTGCCCCCCCCTTTTCCTTGTTCCGCCCCATTCGCCTCCTCCTCCTCCTCCTCCTCGTCCGCCCCGCGCTTGGCGGGGCGCAGAGCGCGACTTCAGCTGCCCTTTCATGCGACGTTGTGCACTTGCGGGCGAAGACCCCGAGCAAACCTCTCAGAGCGCATTTATAAAGACAGGGAGAGAGAGAGAGAGAGAGAGAGAGAAACAAAACGAGAGAGTGGGAGTGAGGAAGGGAGGGAGTGGGAACACCATGTATAGAGAGAGGGAGAGAGAGAGAGAGAACGAGAACGAGAGAGAGAGAGATAGATAATGATACCGACATGTTCACACGTACATATATGTGTATATGTATGTGTATATATATATATATATATATATATATATGCCGGCGGAACAGGGGCGAGGCCGCCAGGAGTGTGCCTGCGCCCTCCGTGGGGGCTCCTGGGGCTCACTTTCCCTGTGTTTTTGACAGGGTTTCGGCGTTCCAGGGCCTCCGAGGGAGGCCGCCAGGAGTGGACCTGCGCCCCCCCTGGGGGCTCCGGGGCTCACTTTCCCTGTGCTTTTACAGGGTTTCGGCGTTCCAGGGCCTCCGAGGCGGCAGTGGCGACCCCGGACATCTTCTTGACCTTCGGACGGAGGCCCAACCAAAACGTCACAAGAGGCACCGGAAACGGTCCAAAGGAGTTCCGACACGGACCCCGAGAGGCGAAACAAAAAAGCTCACAGAGGCCCTCCACATGCCCAGGTCGCCCAAGAAGCCGGAAAAGGCCCCGAGATACACCAAAGCATACCCCAAGACGCTTGAAAACTGCGTCTCACCCTGCTTCTCGTCCCTCTTATCACCTACCTGCTCCTGATTTCTTCTGGCTGTCCAGCTCTCTCCCGGTCTCAGGAAATATAAACATATCCCCGGAACTGCCGGGAACATCATTCCTCGAGTGTTTTTTTTGTTCTTCGCCGCCCTGCTCCATCGTCATTCCCTGATCCTCCGCCTGCTGCGGCTGCTCTTCATGCTACTACTCCCGCACCTCCCCCTTCCCCCTCCTCCCGCTGCCCTCCTCCACCTTCTCACCCACCTGCTTGTGGAGCTCTCTCCCGGTCTCTCGAAGTATGTTCCCGGAACGCCTGCCGGGAACATAATTCCTTTGCTTGCGTTCGAGTGTTTCTTTAGTTCTTCGCCACCTTGCCTCTTCGACTTTCTTCCCATGTCCTCCTCCTGCTGCGGCTGCTCAACATGCTACTCCTGCACCTCCCCGTCCTTTTTCTATCTCCTCCTGCTCCCCCTGAACCTCCCTTCCTCCCGCTCCCCTTCTTCTCCTCCTCGCCCTCCTTCCCTTCCGCCTACTCCTTACGTCCTGCTCGTCCTGCTCCCCCTCCTCTTTCTGCCGCTCACCTTGTCCTGCGTGTCTGTCCTCCTCGTCCTTCTCATCCTCCTGCTCCTCCCGCTCCCCCTCCTCCTCCACCTCCTCCTCCTCCTCCGCCTCCTTCTCCTCCTCTTCCGTCCCGAGATTCCTCCTCCTGCTCTAGCCCTCCTCCTCCGTCCTGTCCTCCTCCCCCTTCTCGGGCTCCTCCCCCTCCTGCTGTCACGAAATATGTTATCGGGAAGCTTCGCCGGAATGTAATGCCGCGTGCCTCCCTTTCTCCACCTCGCTGATATTATCTTCCTCCTCGCCCCCCGCCTCTTCTTTCTCGGGTTCCTCCTCCTCCTATCGCGCAAGATGTTCCCAGGAAGACTCCCGGGAACATAAATCCCATCCCCTTGCTCAAGCGCCTGATCCCTCCTGGGCGGCCCTTCCCCCTCCTCCTCCTTCCTCTGATCCTCCTCCTCTGGGTGCTCTTCCTCCTATTCCTGTTCCTCTCCCTCTTCTTCCTCCGCCTCCTCCTGCCCCCCCTCGACTTCCCCCTCTCTCTCCCTCGCTTCTGCCGTGCGTCCTTCCTCGTCACTCCGCGGGTCGTGGTGCCGAAGAGTCTCGGAAGCCGATGGGTAACGGGGTCGCGATCGGGGATTTTCGACCCTGGAGGTCAGGAGCGTCCAGGGACCGAAGGATTCGGAGGACTCCTGGGGCCGACTTCAGGGGTCGTGGGGCCTACGGTTTTCAGAGGTATCCGGACCGGGGAGGTCGCCGGGATCGGGGAGCGCCCGGACCAGGGGGGGGGGGGGGAGGAAGGACAAAGGATATTGAGGAGGAGGAGGAGGAGGAGGAGGAGGAGGAGGGGAGGAAAAGGAGGAAAGAGAAGAGGAGGATGAGAAGAACGTGTGGAAGGAGCACAACCAATGGGGAAGGACGAGGAGGAGGTGGTGGAGGAGAAGGAGGGGAACTAAGGAAACGGAGGAAAGAGACGGGCAAGGAAGGGGGAGAAGAGGACGAAGGAGGAGGAAGAAGAGAAGAAGGAGGAGGAGCAGGAGGACGAGAAATACGGACACACATATATATATATATATGTGTATATATCCACCTAAGACAAGGCCTGCCTTGATACTTTTGCCAGGGCCTTGCCGCGATCTCGGCTAGAACCAAAGCGCGCGCGAAGCGCGCGCGATGGTTCTAGTGTATATATATATATATGAGAGGGGAAGAGAGGGAGAGGGAGAGAGGGAGAGAGAGAGGGAGAGAGAGAGAGAGAGCGCGCGCAAGAGAGAGAGAGAGAGATTGGAGGGAGGTGTGGGGGGAGAGAGAGAGAGAGAGAGACAAAAAGAGAAAGAGAGAGAGAGAGAAAGAGAGAGGGAGCGAGAGAGAGAGAGAGAAAGTCAAGCATGCCGAGGTAGTGAGAGAGAGAGAGAGGGAACGAAAACGAGAGAGAGAGGGTTGGAGAGAGGGAGGGATACACACATATAACCGCATGCCGATGATAATAAAGGGACCCCCCCCCTTCAGTGTTTAGAGTTGATTATCGTCGCCCTATACAAAATTCAAATTGGGCGGCGAGCGCTGAGGCCGAACTTCATTATCACCTCGAAACGCTATGTTGAGATAGCAACATCAAGCGATGTTGATATAGCAACATCAAGCGAAGCGATCACTCTTTGTCAGGATGTGTCAAGCGAAACCAATAATTTTGGGAGGCAGACTCAAACGAAACGAGCAATGTTTCAAGGATGTCTCAAGGATGTTTCAAGCTAAATCAGCAAGTTTTTTATTTATTTATATGTTTTATTATCTTCCTTTTTATATATGTATCCATCCCCGCGCGCGCCTGAATTTTTCATCTCTGGGGTTGACTATCCATGGAAAGGGGAGCACATGAGCTACCCTACATGAGCACTTAAAAAACAATGTTCATAAAGCGTTTGTAAATTAAAATTGATAGATTTGGAACTTGTCATTTTTTCCGTTATTCTTCTCTTCTTCTTCTTCTCTTCTTCTTCTCTTCTTATTATTCTTCTATTTTCCTCTTCTTATTTTATATTTCTATCTGTCCTCACGCTCGCCTGAACTTTTTTATCCCTGGGGTTGATTATCCATGGAAAATGAAGCACATGAGCTACCCTACACGAGCACTTAAACAAAACAATGTTCATAAAGTGTTTGTAAATTAAAATTGATAGATTTGGAACTTTGGATTTTTCCTTTCTTCGTCCTCTTCTTATTATCCTCTTATTCTTCTTTCTTATTATTCTTCTACTGTATTATCCTTCTTTTATATTTCTCTCTGTCCCCACGCTCGCCTGAACTTTTTTATCTCTGTGGTTGATTATCCATGTTTCAAGATGTCTCAAGCGAAATACGCAATAGTTTCAGGATGTTTCAGGCGAAATCAGCAATACTTTGAGGACGTTACAAGCGAAAACCACAATTATTTAGAGGATGTCTCAAGCGAAATAAGCAATAGTTTGACTGTGTCTCAAGCGAAATAAGCAATAGTTTGCGGATGTCTCAAGCGAAACAAGGGATTTGTCGAGGATGTCTCCAGCGAGATAAGCCATTGTTGAGGATATTTCTATGAAAACTAAACGCCAAGGATGTCTCAAAACGTGCTCGGCTTGGTCTCCTCTTGATCATCTCTTACTTCGAGATTATGCTGAGGTCTGCTGGGCTACTTTTATTATCTCTCCCTGAACCCCGAACTTTATTATCCCCTAGTGTTTATTCTCACGGGCATGAGGTTATATATACATATATATAGAGAGAGAGAGAGAGAGAGAGAGAGAACAAAAAACAAAGAGTGAGAGTGGAGGGAACGAGAGAGAGAGAGAGGCACAAGAGTCGAGATGCCGAGGAGAGAGAGAGAGAGAGTGAGAGTGGAGGCAACGAGAGAGAGAGAGAGACAGGGAGAGAGAAAGAGAGAGAGAGAGAGAGAAGAGAGAGAAAGAGAGAGAGAGAGAGGGATAGAGAGAGAGAGAACTACCAACAAAGAGAGAGAGAGAGAGAGAGGGAGAGAGGCACAAGAGTCGAGATGCCGAGGAGAGAGAGAGAGAAAAAGAGAGAGAGAGAGAGTGAGAGTGGAGGGAACGAGAAAGAGAGAGAGAGAGAGAGAAAGAGAGAGAGAGAGACAGAGAGAGAGGGAGAGAGAGAGAGAGAGAGACAGAGAGAGAGAGAAATACCAACAACGAGAGAGAGAGAGACAGAGAGAGAGAGAAAGAGAGAGAGAGGGAGAAAGAGAGAGAGAGAGAGAGAGGGAGAGAGAGAGAGAGAAATACAAACAAAGTGAGAGAGAGAGAGAAAGAGAAAGAGAGAGGGAGAGAGAGAGAGAGAGAGAGCGAGAGTGGAGGGAACGAGAGAGAGAGATAGAGAGAGAGAGAGAAAGAGAGAGAGAGGGAGAGAAAGACCAGCAACGAGAGAGAGAGAGAGAGAGAGAGAAAGAGAGAGAGGGCCATTCCACTGCGCTGCTCGTGCCGGAGAAACCGTGCGGGGCACCGCGCGGGCTGCCTCCGCGGGAGCGCGCGCGCGAGAGAGAGACTGCATGGGGGCCTCCAGCGCGGAGGGGGCCCCGCACGGTCGGGAGAGCAGGCGCCGGAGACCCCGCGGGGGGCCTCGAGTGGGAGGCGCCGTGCGGGTGGCCTCTCGCGGCAGGCCGTGCCGTGGAGAGCCGGCGGTGCCGTTTTTCATACATGCACGGCGTGCGGATCAGGTATTAAACGTGCAGGGGTTTAGTATCAAAAACAACGATGAGTTCATGCATACATCTATTCATAAAGTAATCACGGATTAATCGTCCTATATTTTTCAGAATCCCATGTCTTAAAAATTGCCCTGTACGAGCGTGGAGGCGGGCACGGCCTCTGCAGGAGGAGCAGTCAAAACCGGTCCAAGCGTAGCCTGGGCCTTTTTCTGTTGTGGACTGTGTTTGAACATGTTGGTGCAGTTGTTGAATACCCCCGGGGGACACTAACCAGGGCCCTTTTCGGCTCCCTCCCTCGCGCGGACAGTAACAATTTACAGAAGGAAGCAGAAAGCAATGCTGTAGCATTGGGAACTGGAACCTGGAACGGGCGCAGGGAACAGCAACCTTAATCCTCGCAGCCTGGTGGCCCCCAAGGGGGCCGGCGGATTTTCTTCGTCCAGCATCCGCCTGTGGGGGGGACCTGCTCGACCTAATACGAGAGACCACGCGGGACAGCATACGGCAGACCGTACCATACGGGAAGCCATCTCGTAGAGCATGCGGCAGAGCCTGCAGCAGAGCATGCGGTAGGGCCATGCATGCGACCGTGCGGGAAACCATACGGGAGACCGCGCGGGAGACCATGGTGGAGACCATTCGGGAGACGACGCGGGAACCCGCTGGGGAGGCCATGCGGGAGAGGAGCGCGGGAGGCCGTGCGGGGCAACATGCGGGACACTGCAACGGATGCCGTGCGAGGTGCAGCACGGCAAGTCGTGCGGGATGATGTAACACGGGGCACCCTGTCGGAGACTGGTCGGGAGGCCACTCGGGAGAGCCTCCTCCGCGCGGTACGCTGGGCTGCATGATTAACCTGAGCGGAGCGGGCGTGCGATGTGTTTCGCGGGCGCAAGAGATGTCGAGGGTGTGATCAGGTGAGCACGATTCGAGGTGGTCCGACTTGGTGAGAATGTCGGCTCACATTTCATTTTCGATGCTGGGAAGCCCTCAGAAGACGATGACACGTGTCAGTCAACGGGGCGATCGACTGATTTTTGAGACAGGCAGTTCGACACGGGGTCCGTGGCAGGAGGGGTAGAAGGAGGAGGAGGAGGAGGAGCAAGAGCAGGAGCAGGAGCAGGAGCAGGAGGAGCAGGAGGAGGAGGAGGAGGAGGAGGAGGAGGAGGAGGAGGAGGAGGAGAGGGGAGGAGGAGGATGGAAGATTGAGGATGGAGGATGGAGGAATGTAGGATGGAGGATGGAGGAGGAGGAGGAGGGGGAGGAGGAGGAGGAGGAGGAGGAGGAGGAGAAGGAGGAGCAGGAGGAGCAGGAGGACGAGGAGGAGGATGGAGGAGGATGGAGGAGGGCAAGGAGTAGGAGCAGGAGGAGAAGACTGGGAGAGGGTGCTTCCGCGAGGCGTCGTCTTCGTCACGCAGCTCCTCCAGCAGCGGCAGACGGGCCAAAAGAGGCAAGAGCAGGCCCGTACCAGCGGTGGGACCATTCTTTCAAAGTGATGCTTGGAGGAGGATTGGGGGGGAGAGGAGGGCACCTGTGACGGTGCCACTGATCGGCGGCGAGCGAGGAGGGGAAGTGATCTGAAGGGGAACAGGTACTGATACTGCTACCGTTCGCCCTTTTCCCCATGTTTGGGGCTCCCTGGGAGGCCCTCTTCGCTGCGGCCTCGGAGCGGGGATGCTTCATACAGCTGTGGCAACGAGGAGAGGGAGGAGGAGGAGGAGGAGGAGGAGGAGGAGGCGGAAGGGGAGGAGTCCGAGGAGGACGAGGAGGAGGAGGAGGACCTGCTAAGCTCACTTGGTTGAATGCCTCTGGCGCCCTGGGATTGTCGTGAGTAAGCTGCATGAGGAGGAGGGGTTGTATGGGAGGAGGAAGGGGATGCCAAGCCGGGGGTCTGCCGCACGTTCTCGCAGGAGGGGGGGCACGCGAGAGAACGCGACGCAGGGACAAGAAGGCCACGAGCAAGAAGGGCAAGGCCAGCTCTGTGGCCGCTGCTGCTGCCAGTGCTGGTGCCGGCTCTTCGTCTAGGGCCAGGACCCACGCCGGTATACATATATTCATGCATATATGTATATATATAGGCATATCTATATATATGTATATATTTATACATGTATATATATATATACATATATATGTATGCATATGTGTGTATAGATACGTACACCTATATGCATCTATGTGTATATAGGTGTGTTTTGACCGCGGCGCTTGTTCATCACCCGGGTTCCCCGTGGCCGCTCTCGGGCCCCTGAGGCCGACACATGGATGGACCCGGGGCGCACAGCTGCACCGCAGGGAGGAGATTTGGCAGCACCGGGGCCGCGGGCTGCCAAGGACATGTCTCGGGGCTGGACAGAACCCCCACCCTGACACGTCGATTAGTGGATTGTCCGTTTTCGGTTCTCGAGAGGGCGCCGCGGCCGTCATTTTCCAGGCTTGCGCCCTCCAGGTTTGGGCCCCAGGTCGTTGTCACTAAACCACGTTTTGCTAAAGGGGGTTCTGTCCATCCCCGAGTGTCGCACGTATGGGGCGGTGCGTCGTGTCGATCACGGCACGGCGGGTCAATCAGTTTGGTCCAGTTGTTGCGGGGCCGCGGGGGGCGGGCGGATCGGCGAGGGACGGTCCTGAGGACAGGTGGGGAGCTCCTGCCCGCGTCTTGTCAGAACGGTGGAACACGCCTCCCGCCTCATTCGGGGGAGCGTAAGACCCGGGTTTGCCAGGACTCGGGTTCGCCATCGTTTTTTTGACGACCGCGTTTCGGATTTTGACGAGGAGGAGTTTTGTGGGATGTCTGCAGCGGGAAGCCCCGTCAAAATGCAGGCTCGGCCTCGTCATTTTTTTGACGGCCTCGTCGGGGATTTCCGAGTCCCCCGTACCCAGGTCTTACGTCTCCCCGCCTCGTGTTACACTCATGTTCGTGACGAAGGACTCGTTGCTACGCTCGGCCGACCCGAACGGGTCAGCCATTTCGTCCTGGCAGAGCAGGAGGCGTGCTGTTCCTTCTCGCTGCTCTGCGCGTTCACTCAATCGAATTGCCCGTTGATGTCATTTCGTTTCGTCGTTGTTTCGCTCTTACCAACGCGTCCCAGCCGTGTTGCTCTGGCGGCATGTTCCCATCATCTTGTTTCCCACTTCTTCCTGCTTTCCTCGTCGCTCCCCTCTTCACCCTACTCCTCCCTCCTTCTCCGCCTTCCTCCACGTCCGCCTCCTCCTCCTCCTCCTCCTCCTCCTCCTCCTCCTCCTCCTCCTCCTCCTCCTCTCTCATGGGTTCTAACTCGTTGCGAATCCTGGAGGTGTCTGCTTGGCTGGAGGAGGAGGGCGAGGGGGTGGAGCAGGAAAAGGAGGATGCTGGGGAAGAGGATCGGGGGAAGTACGAGGATGATGACGAAGAGGGTAACCACGACGTAGCGGACCAGGTCAGGGCTGGAGCGGAAGGGAAAGCGGAGGATAACAATCAGGGGGGGGGGAGGAGACGGGGGACGAGAATGGGTGGACGGGAAGGGGAGAAGATGGAGGATGAGTCCCAGAGGCGGTGCAGCGGCTGCGGTGTGTGTGTGTGTGTGCGTGTGTGCGTGTGTGTGCGTGTGTGTATGTGTATGTATGTGTGTGTATGTGTGTGTGTGTGTGTGTGTGTGTGTGTGTGTGTGTGTGTGTGTGTGTGTGTGGGGGGGTCTGAGTGTCTGTGTGTCTGAGTGTCTGAGTGTCTGAGTGTCTGTGCGTCTGTGCGTCCGTGTGTCTGTGTGTCCAGGTGTCTGTGTGTCTGTGTGTCTGTGTGTGTGTGCCTGTCCCCGCCTGCCGACTGCCTCGAGGCCAGACGAGACTCCTCGTCGAAGTCCTCGTCCTCCTCCGGGCGGCGGGACAAGAAGAAGCGGCGCCGGTGATCCGGCGGTTTCTCACCCCGTGCCCTGCGCAGGCCTGTAGCGCCACGGCCTTTGAGTCTCCCCCTCCTCCTCCTCCTCCTCCTCCTCCTCCTCCTGCTGCGTTGATGCTCCTCTTCCGAGCCGTAGCCCTCCAGGCCATTTCGAGACGGGTCTGATGAATGGCGGCGTGCACAAGGGGGGTGGAGGGGGGGGGGGGGCTTCTTATCTTAGGAGGAGGCTGCTTCTCAGGAGGCGCCGGGCTTACCAATCATCTAAAAATGTGGCCCGCGCCTGCTAAGAAGCAGGGTTGCCTCTAAGGAGCCCTCCCCCCTCCCCCCACCCCCCTCTGCGCGTGGCCCAGATTATGTGCGCTGGGGGGCTTGTCCCGCATGTTGCGGTGGCCCCCTGAAATCATGCTTGTCTCGTGGCCGCATGCTTCCGCCTAGCACTCGCCGTGATCTCGGGTGAACATGTGCGAGCTACAGGCGTATTTAGGCTGTCATGCAGCGCAATGCGGAAGCTTGTGGAATGCAGCACAGTCAGTGAGCGACAGGGGTTGCCAGCCTTTCTTGGCGTACACTGCTTCGACCTGAAGCAAGCGCTTTCCACCACTTATGCAGCGTAGCACTGCCTGCGCATCCTGTTGAAGTGGCAGGTGCGCGTGTACCGCCACAAGTGCAAGTGATTCGGCGCGTGGATGCCAGAAGCATGCGCGCTTCATCTTCTGTACGCGCGGATGGGTACAGGGAACATGTGTGTTCATGTGCATTCAGGCGCTAGCGGTCGCGTGCACACCCTTTCGCATACAAACGCGGGCACACGTACATGTATCGCTGAGCACACGTACGCACGGTCGGATGCATAACCCATACATGCAGTTCTTTGCGACACGATGTGATGTATTGGTTTTCGATGCGTAGTATTGAACTGTTCCGTACTGCCGTGAAGGGGTGGATTCTTGGGGGACTCTTGGGGGCCTCTCAGGGGCAAGTTGGTGATCTTGGGGGCAATCTTGGACGGACGAGTTCGCAAGGCCATTTCGAGTTCACTCTTTGGCCCGTCTTGGGGCCCTCACGGGGGCCTCCTGGCCTGGGCCGTCTTGGGGACTCCTGGGCCGTCTTGGGAGCTCAACATGGGCACGGAGTGCGTCAGGGGTGCGCTGCAATTTGCGCGGCGACCGCATGCGCCCTTTCCCATTGTGATGATAGTTTGAGCTCCCTGCGGCACACGAAACGTGTGAGCGTGTGCCGTGCCCACTAGGGCCGTGTCGTAGTTGTAGCTCCATGTAGGGCACGACCCGTGTGAGACGTGCGCTGTGAGGGACTCGGGCGACCGCACGCGGGCGCACCCACTTTGCCGTCTGGGCCCCTCCTGTTCTCAATATGGGACCACACAGTGCATGGACTCATGAGAGGTTGTGCCGAGCGCTGCTCAGGCAGCACGTGGGGCCGTAGCTGCGGCTCCCTGTGGTGCACGAGCTGTGACGGGGGTGGGTCGACCTGGGTCCAGGAGACCGCGCGCGGGCGTTCCTATGAGGAGGGAGGGAGGGAGGGAGGGGAGGTACCCACGTGATCGGAAGGCCGACTCGGGCGAGAGGGCCCGGAAGCGCTTCACGGTGCACCCACAGCCGAAGCTGAGGCCAAAAGGCCGAAGAGCACGGACGGATGGAGAGGGCAGTACCTCGTTGAGCAGTGCTGCAGCCTCCCTTGTGCACAGGCCCCTTCCCCAGCGGTTCTTGTTTGGGGATGCAAGGGGCGGGTTATGCTGGATATGATGCGGTGCCACCAAGCATAGGCCCAACGTGAAGCCGGATATGGTGCGCTGTAGTGAGATGCCATACATCAGTGCAATGCGACATGATGCACTTGTGCCCCTTGCTGTATTGCATGCAATGCGCCACCACGCTTGTTCCATTTGTTGCATCACTTCGAGATGTGTACTTCGGTGTCCTGAGTGGTTGACCGTGTTTGCCCTAGGATGTCCTCGCGGTGGCGGCTTGTCCTCGCGAAGACGTTTTTTTTTACCCGATTTGACCGACCTCGCGTTGCTATCCGTTGCCCTCCACGCTTCCTCCTCGTTCCGCTCCGGGCTCGCCCCGATGCCTCCTATATGCGGTTGACTCTGGATCGGCGGAGATCCTGAGTCGTGCCTCTGTTGGAAAAAGTGGCATGGGGGGCGCGGGAAGGGGAATGGCAAGGGCGCCGGCCAGGAGGCGCAGACGGGAGGAGGATGAGGAGGAGGAGGAGGAGGAGGAGGCGGGGAAGTTGGAGGAGGTGCAAGAGTTGCAGGAGGAAGGAGTGGAGGAGGACGAGGAGGTGGAGGAGGAGGAGGATGCGGAGGAGATGGAGGATGATTGTATTGCTCGCCACCCCTCTTGTGGCCTCTACCCTGGTGTGCTTTGGGATTCAGGACATACGGTCGGACTGAGGTTTTAGATCGAGGTCGGTTCGGGGATGGTGCCCTCGTGTTCTTCGTGCTTGTTGGATCTTCGTGTGCATCCTGGGGAGGGTACCTTCGGAGGTTCTGTGCGTCTTGGATATATCCCTAGATCTAGGGATTTGTGCGGACCCCGTCCCAAACCATTGTGGGTCCCGAAACCACCGATCTGCAGCCTAGGCCAGTCCGCCCTTTCCGTCGGAGGCGGCTTCCCTCGGAGTGTGACATGGATACGTCGAGTCTCCATGTTTTGATACTTGCAGGAATGGGTGCGACCCCATGACGGACGGGAGTGTTCCCGCAGGACCTCCTGGCGTGATTCCGAAAAGCAGTTCGAGACCGCGGGGAATAGAGGGCAGGGATGATGGAGGAGGATGACGGGGGGGATGTTGAGGAGGAGGAGGAGGAGGAGGAGGAGGAGGAGGAGGTGGAGGAAGGGAATCTTTGAGGAGGGAGACAGAGGAGGGTGGAGGAGGGAGATATGGCATCGAGGATCATGGCTGTGATTTGCGGCCGTGCGCCATATGCGCCCAGCTCAGCTGTTGGGTTACCCGATGTTCCAGGGTACGCCTTAGCAGGAGACGTACTTGGTGATTCATTGAGCCGACAGCGCAGTGCACATGGGGGTTCCAGATCACGAGCCATTGGTCATTGGAGACTTTCGAGAGGCGGCCAGGAGGATCCCATAGAGACTACATGGGGCTTCTAACAGGCGTCAAATCGGCAACATGCCCATCTCTAAATTAAGTCGAACACCCTATTCGCGTGGCTTGGCAAGGAGAGAAGTCTTCTGACGTGAGGGCAGGTGGGAGGGATAAGGCCCTTCACTCTCTAAACCACTTGCGCCCAGATGGCAGGCGGGAGTCCTTGGGATTCGAAGATTGAGGTTCATGGAGGACTTGAGGTCACCCCACTGTGTGCTAGAGTCTTTGTGACGGATACAGAAGCAGAGCACGTAGGATCACGACCAAGCATATCTTTACAATTAGCGGCTGTTAAGCATTGTGCGCTCAATGACGCAGGAGCACGAACATTGTGTCCTGTGTGAGGACCTTGAATAATAACGTTCATACTAAGAAGGATAATGCCAATCATGATACGAATAGGGAGAAGACACATCAGCATAAACACATGTTTGCCAGCGTGGACTCCACACTGTGAGTTCGCTTTTTTTCCGAAGTGTAAGCCATGTTGTAAGCGGGAACGAGGCGGCAGCGTGCGGCAACGTGGCGAATCCTCACCATACCCCCCAAGGCAGCAACGGACCGCAGCTGGCGGCCACGTGGCGAATCCTCGACAGACCCCCCGAGGCGGCAACCGGTGGCAACGCGGCGAATCCTCGCCGGACCCATTCGGTTCCTCAGTGACAAAAGTGAGTACCCATGAGCGCAAGCGCTGCTTGGGAGGTACTACGACGGCAAACCAACAGATACGTACAACCGTCGGAGGGCCGCGCGGATATCTCGGATCTGTGCTGGGGCCCTCCAGCAGCGCCCTCGCCCATCCAAACACATTGTTAATGTTCTGCGCATCCCCACTGCCCTAAAAGGAGCAAAGGAGCGTGGCATCATTTTGAGATATCGGGGGACGGTGTGAGCCAGGTGTCCCTTGGATGCCTCCTTGGGTCTTTTGGGGTGTTTCTTGAGAGCCTCCTAAGAGGCATCTTGGAGCGCCTTGGGGGCCTTGCTGGCTCTTGGGGGACCTCTTGGAGAGATTCTTGCGGAGCTGCGAAAGCCCATGATCATGTATCCTTTCTTCTTCTGGGAGCGCCATCGCTCAGAGTCTTCGGCGTTGTGCTGTTTGTGGAATGCCATCCAGGCTCCATTTCGATCCGATCGATCCGATTCGACATCGGCTCTGGCCGGCCAGATTCACTTCGATTCCGATTCTCGGGCGATCCGACGCGGCCTGATGCCTGCATGGCGCTGCTGTGCATCCTGGCGCAGCCGATCCGATTCGATTCCGACTCTGTCCCGATGCGGTCGGATTCGATACATTTTCGGTAGGTGGATCTCTCAAGCTCTCCGCCGCCTCTGGCGGTGTGCGTTGCGAGCAGTCTCACAGCAAAGCCACAGGAAGTGCGGCATTGCACACCGCCAGAGGCGGCAGAGAGCTTGAGAGATCCACCTACCAAAAGTCCAATCCGATCCCATTTCCTGATGCGATCTGGCTGTCCCTGCCATGGCGCCAAGTCGCCGTCCCAGCGCGCCCATGTGCACCGCTGCCAGGAAGAGCAGTAGCGCGAGGAGGATGGGTGGAGGGGCATCGGACGAACCCCAGTCGAGACCACGGCGCTGACCCCCTTGCGGTTCTCTTCCCTCCTGGGCCTCCGGGTGGCCTCTCGCCATCCGTCGCCGCGGCGCGATCCGCCTCGAACAACGGACCAGCATGGAGCCCTGGAGGGAGCCGGGGACCGATTCTGGGTGGTTTGAGGCCGGGCGCGATAGCCGCTGGTGTCTAAGCGTGGCGCCTCTCCGAGGGGAGTTCGTCGCCGCCGCGCCAGCGTCATTTTGCTCGCAGAGCGATGCCGGGCAGCTGAGCCCACTGCTGCTCCTTGCGCGCCCCGTGCGCAGCAGAGGCCTGTGGCCCCGCACCCGAGGAGGAGGAGGGAAGAAGGAGCAGGAGGAGGAGGAGGAGGATGAGCAGGAGGATGAGCAGGAGGAGGAGGAAGAGGATGATGCTGAGGATGATGCTGAGGATGATGCTGAGGATGATGAGGATGATGAGGATGATGAGGATGAGGATGAGGATGAGGATGAGGATGAGGATGATGATGATGATGATGATGATGATGATGATCATCATGTTGTTGATGATGATGATGATGATGATGATGCTGATGATGATGATGATGATGATGATGATGATGATGATGGGGAGGAGGAGGAGGAGGAGGAGGAGGAGGGGGAGGAGGACGAGGAGAAGGAGGAGAAGGCGGGCGAGACGGAGGAGGGCGAGGAGTAGTAGTGGTAGTAGTATTGGTATTCGTCGTAGTGGTCTTAGTAGTCGCAGTATTCGTGGTCCTCGTCGTCATCGTCGTCGTCTTTGTGGTAGTAGTTAATCGTCGTCAACGTTGTCGCCGTCGTAGTAGGAGTAGTAGTGGGAGTAGTAGTAGTCGTAGTAGTAGTAGTAGTAGTAGTAGTAGTAGTAGCAGCAGTAGCAGTAGTAGTAGTAGTAGTAGTAGTAGTAGTAGTAGTCGTCGTGGTGGTAGTAGTAGTAGT